CCAGCCATTCCCCCTCCCCTTCTCCACAACTGCACTGGCAGCGGGCGAAGGCTCTTTGGGGAATGAGGCTTTTGATGACACGCCAACCGGAGGATTAACCGACCCGGTCCCGGAGGCTGGTACGCCCATTACAGGCGAGGCGGAATTTAGAGACGCGGTCAGAGGGGGATCTTGAACAACTGGAGCTTGACTTCCAAAGGCCTTCTTCTCTGGGCAGGAGGAGGAGAGATGACCAGTCACTCCACACCTCCAGCATACCGGTCTTCGACCCGTCACAATGACCGGTAACTCCAAGCTACCAACATCCACACAGTTGGGGATGGAGCAGAAGGCTTTCTCGTCCAGCATGATGTCAAAGCTCTACCCCCCGCTCAAGCTATCACAGGAAGCTCCCAGAATTTCGCCATACTGGGAGAAGAACGCGGCGAGATGTTCCCCGATAACCCGAGGAGGGACCTCGTATACTGTTACTATGGGCTTTCGTCGGCCTTCGTACTCCGTCCGCAGTATCAACTCTTTGTTTATTAGCTCGCGGCTAGCCGCGGCGACGCAGTCTTCTGATGTAGGCAACAGTACGTCCCACATGAAAAATTTAGCTCCCTTAACTATTCTAAGGGGCTTAAACCCGAAGGATTCTAGTGCTTTCAACACTGTGTTTTTCGTCGAGCGACAAATTTTGCGCGTACGCTTGTCCACGACGAAAACTGACACTATTCTTTTTTCAATTTTCTTTAATTCTTGGGGGTCTTCCAAAAGTCCACCTTCTACAACAAGGTGGGTGTAACTCTTGGCACGCTCCAAGAACTCCGCTAAATTGATTATGCACTTTGGTGGGGACGACCAACAAGAGGGCGATTCCCCGGCCTCAGGCTTAGCTTGCGGTTCATTTCCGGTTTCTTCAACTTTTTCAGAATTTTGGCCATTATTGGCCTCCATAGGTCTTTCTTTTTCCTTGTTATTGCATTTATTGGCTTCCGTAGTATTAATTTTTTCTTTTTTTTTTTTCCCAGCGGTTTCAACGTTGCTAGGGGAAGTGGTCTCAAGAGCAGGAAATTCATTTAAATTGTCTTTGTCCGGGGGTCTTTTTTGGTAGGCTTAAATAGATGCTTACGTATCGTCTTTCTATAATCCGATAAATTGGGCTTTTTTTTAATTGCTAAAAAGGAAGGTGTCTTTTTTTCCTTTTTTTTCCATTTTTTTAAATAATAAGAAGGAAGGGGAGGGGTGGGGAACTGCCTTATAGGCGGAGGGAGGGAGAAAAAAAATAAAAGGGGAGGGTAAAAATAAAGCTTTGCTTATCAGAAAGACAACAATTTAATTTAACAAACAGAGATCAACAGACGAAAGTAAAACAGAAGGACGTGTGAAAAAAAAATTATAAACACAAGTGTAAACAGGTAAAACAAAAAACGCAAAACAAATGGACAGACGAGAAAATGTGAACAAGGTTCACAAAAAGGAAGAAAGAACAAAAATTAAAAGGACAACAAACAAGAAAGCCACAAATTACACAATAAAACTAATAGTTATAAACGGAAAAATACGAGAAAACGCTATACAAAATAAAGTACGAAACTAAAAATGTAACAATTTACAATATGTCTGCCGATAAAAACGGTCAACCCAACAAAGAAAACGTTAAATAAGGGGAAAAAAGAGGAGGGACAGAAATTACAAATTAAACACAAAAATTAAAAAAAACAAATATTATAAACACATAATTAACAGATAAAACGTAGACTTTTTAACGGTTATTTAAAATAAAAAAGACAGAAATAATTAACACGTAATAAATCAACAGTTAAATAAAAGTCGGACGAGAAACGAAAAATAAACAGATAAACTCCGGGGTGAGGGCACTGGAAGCAAATAGATTTAATAAGGAAAAAGTAAAGCGTAAAAGAAAATAAAAATTAAAAAAGAAATAATAACAAAAATGAAGTAACGGTAAATAAAAGGGAAAGGAAATGAAAAGGAAAAATCAAATGGTCAAAATAAGAACGTTAGAAAAATGACAAATTTAACAAAAAGTCAAAAAATCACGTTAGAAAAATGGTAAAAATAAATCAAAAACTTAACTAAATTAAGGCAGTCAAAAAGTTCAAAAAGTAAATCCTTTGAAAGACAGCAAAAAATGTCTAACACCGGTCAGACAAGAAACGGTGTAAAAACAAAAAAGAACACCGAATCTCTTCTTCTGCTAAGTTTTTCTTCCACCTCCGTTCTAGTTGGTGTCCATTTATCATATATGAGCTACCTGCTCATATGCAAATTATACTAATTTGCATATCACTACAATTGCATTTTTTATTTTAAGATTCGGAGCAGATTTTCAAGAAATGAGTAATAGTTTTTTAAAAAAAAAGAAAATTTACATTCACCAATTTTTTAACTAAAAAAATTGGTTGAAAATTTAATTTCTCGAAATTTCATGAGTAAAAATACTTTTAGCAACATATTCTAAAAAAAATTAAAAAACAATTTAATTCATTTGTAAATAAGTCCTGAAAGTTTCATTAAAATCCGACAACCGTTTGATTTCTGCAAGAATTTCTAAATCAATGTTTTCACCCAAAAAAATGCGCTGAAACAATAATTGTAAATATCACGCAAAACAAAAACAAGATTTTTAAACCAAAATTTTGAAATTTTTTGCTAGAAAGGATTAAAAATTTTAATAAAATATTAAATAAAACATGTTGGTCTTTCCTCTTAATAATAACAAAAACATTTTGACGATAAAACTTTGTTTAGGGACTTTTTTTTATCATGCTATGCTGTTTTGTTTGTTTTTTTTTCAGCGAAAATTAGAGGTACCTACTCTAAACTTTAAGATCAATATTTGGCTTAATCAAGTCGTTCTTAACAAATCGTGTAAATAAGATTTGAGTTGAACCGACACTCTTTTACATCATTTCACATTAATGCGTAGGTCCCTTGCACCTGTTGCAGACCCGGTAGCGTGCAGTGCTGGTTTATTAAAAAGTGGCCTTGTGCCACACACTACTGCCGAATCCACAAGCAAAGTATAAAAATTGCGTGAACGAACATAGAGAGGAAAAGGGGTCAATCAACAAGTGCATAAATAATAATACAAGTAGATAGCCGGAATTAAACGACACAAGGCGTCTGGTTGAAAAACATATATGAAATTTTTATTAAATTGAAACAAGTAGGTTGTCTCTTCATTCGAGATCATCAGAGAAAATGTTCCGCGCCAAAACAGGAAAGCAAGATGGACAAGGCGGAAAAGGTTTCATCAGAATGAAAGGAGGTGTAGGTGTGCACAGATAGAAAAAGTGCTCACTGTGAATTTTGGTATTGTGAGTGTATGTAATATTTTTTTTAGGTTCAGTTTCAAAGTAGTTCGAAAGTTCAGTCGTTTCGGAGTTTTTGGTCGAAAGGCAAAGGAAATGTAACAAGTTGTTGACTTAAGGACATTGAATTAATCGCTGAGAATTTTACATCGATTTGATGTGATTATTGCCGTAGGATATCCCTGTCTGTATTATGTAAGTTGGTAAGGGAGTCAGTTGGGAATAAATCTCCGGTAGAAGTTGATCATCCCTATAAAACGTCTCAACTGTTTAATGGAAACATGGACAGGAAACTCAGTGATAGCTTTAATTTTTTCAGTTATAGGGGCAATTCCATTAGCATCAACATGGTGTCCTAGAAATTCCATGTGGTCTGATCCGAAAACACATTTGTCCAGGTTTAGACGGAATCCGTAATGAGACAAACGTTGAAGAACTTCGTGTAGATGTCGCTTATGAGAGGCAGCGTCCTCACTAGCTATCAAGATGTCGTCAATGTAATCGAAAACGAAGGGGAGTCCACGCAGAACTTCGTCCATAAGACGCTGAAAGGTCTGTGCTGCGTTGCAAAGGCTGAAAGGCATTTTCAAAAATTCAAATAACCCAAATGGTGTGGTAACGGCAGTTTTTGGGACATCAGCAGCAGCTACTGGCACGTGATAATATGCTTTTGCGAGATCTATTTTAGTAAAAATCTTTGCGCCTTGTAAACCAGAAGCGAAATCGTGGAGATGGGGAATTGGATAGCGATCCCGGACGGTAATGGAATTCAACCTTCTGTAATCCACGCAAATTCTATAATCTTCCTTTCCTGGTTTAGGTACCAAATGAAGAGGGGAAGCGTAGGGGCTGTCAGACGGACGAATAACACCCTCTCGTAGCATGTCGTCGAAAGCTTTCTTTGCGAATTTTAATTTGTTAGGTGCTAAACGACGAGGACGGGAAAAACAGGTTGACCAGTGGTCTTAATAAAGTGCTGCGTTTGATGTTTAGTTGAATCAATAGATCCAGCAGGACGCAGGAGGTCCTGGTACTGATTCAATAAGTCTAAGTACTCCTTATTGTGGCAAGTTGCCACGGTGATGCCAGTGGTGGTAATTTTAGAGTAAGTACCAAGAACACACAGTCTTGTTAAGTTGTCTGTTAGGGAATGGTTGTTCATTCGAACGGCTAGATCATAGTGTGCCAGAAATCGGCACCTAATATCGGCATCTGGACGTCAGCAACAGTAAAATTCAGGTAAAGTCTCGTCGCATTCCTATGTTTAGGGTAAGGGACTTCGTACCGTAAGTATTAATACTGGAACCATTTGCTGCTTGTAAGCGGAGCTGAAAAGGTTGTTGACGTGCTTTATCACGAACAGGTAGCACACTGATGCCAGCGCCGGTGTCAACCAAAAAACGTAAATTATTACGTGTATCTGTCACGTAGAAAAGGCGACTAAGCTTCGGTGAAAATGCCTTGCCAGCGAGATTAGTCGCTTTTACTCGCTGGCGGTTTTGTTTTCCGCGACCGCAGTATAGGTACACGGCTTGGTGCAGTAATGTGCTGCAGACCCAAATCGGCGGTGGTAATAACACATAGTAGAAGGGGCATCCTTGTTTCGACTGGACGAGCGTGGTCGACTCCTGAAACGCCGGCGGGAAGGGAACCGGCTTCGACCATGGCTTTTTAGAGCTAATGTCAAATCTCTAACTTTTTGTTCAAAATCTTCCACTGTTTTTCTAAGGACCTGTGGTCACTAGTTGCTTCAGCACTGTGTACTGGCGTTGTTTGGTGATCCAGTTGAGAGAAAATACGATCAGCGGCGTCCGCTAACTGGTCGATCGGGGTGTTCTCAGACATAGGCGCCAAAATTTGGGTAATGGTGGTGGGGAAGCGATCCAGCCACAAGCTTTTCAAAATCGAGTCAGCCATAGTATTTTTACCGAGTCGGCTTTTCATAAAACGAAGAAGTTGTGAGGGAGTCCTGCCATCGCAAGTTAAGTTACTGAATAATTCACGGATTAATGTTTCCTCCGTACGACCCATTCTTCTTAAGATAGCTTCTTTCAACCGGGTGTACGGCTCTACCTCCGGGACGGCTTCTAGAAAGTCAGATACTTCGTCGACAATGGCGGGTGGCAAAACCGCCACCACGTGGCCAAACTTTGTTTTTTGGTCTGTAATTCTTCTGACAGTAAAAATAGCTTCCATTTGCAGGAACCAGTTCTTTATGTTCCCTTCGTGAAAGGGGGGAAATGGAGCGACGGCGGCGGTCATGTTCGCCAACTCTTCAGTGTCACTAGACGTCATTCTGGCTATCGAATTTATGCACGTTTATATTTAAGCTTGCTCAGAATTATGTTGGCAAGGTTGCCAATCTTATTGCGTGTTCAAATCACGTCTCGGGTCACCAAACTTGTTGCAGGTCCGGTAGGGTGCAGTGCTTGTTTATTACAAAGTGGCCTTGTGCCAGACACCACACTAAACTACCGAGTCCACAAGCAATGTAAAAAAAAAATAAAAATGCATGAATGAACAACGAAGGAATGTGGTTAGTCCACACGAGCATAAATTAAATATATTAAGAAGATAGCCTGCACAGAATGACAGAAAAAGACTGGATTCAAACAAGAGTAGTTTTTTTATTAAATGAAGAAAACAAGTAACTTATCTCGTGGTAGAGATCAATGAAAATGTTCCGCGCCAAAACCGAAAATCAAGATGGCTAAAGCGGGAAAAGTTCTTGAGGAGGAAGATTCCAGAAAAGTCAATCTACACGGAATATTATACATACAAAGAAAAATACTCACTGCGAGTTTTTGTTAGTGTGAGTGTAATGTTATGTATATTTCTTTTTTAAGTACTGGTTCAAAGCAGATTAGAGTTCGATGAATGTGATAAGTTCTGTTCCCTTGCTAGTGGCAAGGCAGGTTCGGACAAGACGTTAGTCACTCGACGAGAAAATTCTAGTCATCCAAAGCGTGTTGTGAGGACGAAGACGAACGTACAAAGTTTCTCTGATAGAAAACCGGAGGAAGTTCCTCTAAGGAGTTAGTCTTCGGTCGAGGAAAAAAAAGGTGGCCGATAGTTGCATCGTCTCGAAGAAAGATGTGTGCGACGAGCCAAAAGGACGAAGAATTAATTATTGGTGATTGCATCGTCTCGAAGAAGGATTTGTGCGACGAGCCAAAAGGGACGGAGAATTAATTATTGGTGATTGCATCGTAAGATATCCCTCGTCTCTCAACCTTAAATATCGACAGGGATAAATGAGTCTCTGCTTAGGTCCGAGTTTGAATCACGACTAACTTTTTTGAACCAACAGTTTGTCCGTGACGTCAAAGAAATTTCGCGGGAATATTTCAAAAATCTAATTTGCATAAGAAGGAATAGCAGGTAGCTTGACTGACGACAAAAACCAATTTATTGCTATGTCTGACTGAAAGAGGAAGGAAGGGGTGTGAAACGCGCGCGCGCACACGCGAGTGTGGAAGAAAGGGAGGAAACTCGCGCGCGCGTAGAATGTTGTAGATGGGATAACTGCGTTATCCCATAAGCTCGAAAATCGGGATGCAACTGGTTAGGAACGCTGGCATCCGTGACGTCAAGAAAACGCGCGGGAAAAAATTCAAATTCTGTTAGGCTGACTTTATCAGCAGGAGCTATAGTAAGCGACCTTCCTTCCTCCAGATTACTGCTACGTCTAGCTGTAAGAGAGAGGAAGGGGTGCAAACCGCGCGCACACACGCACGAGTGTGGAAGGAAGGGAGGAAAACTCGCGCGCGCGTAAAATGTAGATGGAATTACTGTGTTATTCCATGCACCTACATTGTTTCTTATCTTTAGCAACGACCTTCCCGACGTTATCAGTTCCCAACTGTGTATTTATCCTGATGACGCAACTATTTAATCCCGTCTTTGTCGCAAGTCCGACAGGTCTGACAGCAGCTGCTATCGAAAATGACATCCAATCTGTGGTTAATTAGGACAATAAATGACTTGTAAATTTTAACACCGCCAAAACAAAACTGCTATAAACACCACAGAGAGCCTTTTCTACTTCCCATCAGCAAGATTGATGCTAATTTCTAGGAGAACAAATCTTTCTACCTTCTTGGGCACGCGTTTCCCACTGATATAAAGTTGAATGATTATGGAATCAATTCGTAGATCTATTGCTCGGAATTTTGGTTCACAGTTTTGTGCTAGACAATGTCAGAATCCATCTTGTACATTTATAAATCTACTATTCATCCATGCATTGAATATTGTTGTCATACCAAGTCTGGTGTTCCCACAAGATTCTTAACAAAATCCAAAGAAGAGTCAGTAAATGTAATCGATCCTGGCCTGGCATCTTGACATCAGTTACTTTCCCAGCTGTTGTGACTTCCCTACGTCTTTTCTATAAATATTTTCATTTTCTGATGATTTTTCTGATGACCTTGGTGCTACGACTGCGTGAATTTACTACTAGATTGGCAACTAGGTCACGCTGTTTTACTGTTTATATGGTAACCGTATGTTCTAGTTAAATAGTTTCTAAAACATCTCGCCTGCGGAAATCTCTCCTGTTCCATGTCAGTTCTGTTTTTGTACATAGATATCAATGTCATAAACACAGCTTCAAACTTGACATTTATAAAAAGTACAGAAAGTATTTTAAAAACTCAAGGATCGATTTTACACTATATCGATATTGTGAGCAGAACGCCCTTTTAAAATGTTAAAAAAATCAATATATTTCGATTCTGACTAATGAGTACCAATGAACAAAAATGATTTCTACTCGAATGGTTATGTCGGGGTCCTTTCTGTTTTCATATTTATTACAAATAATTCTCTTCAATATCTTCCTTTGAATTTGATGTTGCAAAAGAACATGGGAAGCAACTCGTGTTCAGAGGTTATCTCCCCGTTGCTATGGTTTTATGATAATTTTAGCTTCTCTCTTTATCGTTATGCATTTGAGTTTTTTTTTTTTCACTTTTTGAAAAAGTAAAGATATGCCGAAATGGTTGCGTTATACTCGAGAGAAATACTTAATTTGGTTTACTTTTTGTCTTATTCTTCACATAAAAAAGCATGTCGGACCAAAAACAAATGTTGCATACGTTTGATGTTGTCACCCAGGAAAAATAATGAAATTGAGTTTTCTTCGTGTTTTGATGGTAACTGTATATAATATAATTTTGTTTGTGTACTATACTTATCTGCTCTTGGCGTTTTTGTTATGGTAATTACCTCCCTTACTAGCATTCTTCAGTTGACGAATTGCTTAGTCAGGGAATGTTTCATTAAATAAATCCTTGTTAAGGAATACCAGTCTTGTCAGCTCATTTCAATTTATTTAACGAAACAAATTCAACAGTATAGATAAACACTTGAAACCGGAACGTTTGGACTCCCCCCCTCCTAATAGACGATCGTCAAGTAAAAATTTGAACCACTGGTTTTGAAGCTTCTCGTCGTTCCTACGCAAAATTATTGACCTTCTTAACATCCATACCGACTTAGACAAACTTTTAGATGTCCGCTACCACTTTTTCACAAATGTCGCTTTTCGTGCAAAGAGCGGATCACATATTCATAAATGTTTCTGAAAACCTAAACCTAAAACCTAAATCCTCCTCATAGGATAATAAATATAAAATTTATCTTTACGTGTATTGTTCTCAATAAGCGACACAAAACATATCAGGCTCTAGACTGAGTTTTGTAAGGCGCTTTCTGAGTGGTTAACAGATGTTAAAAAAACAATTTACCTGCTCACCACTACGTCCGAACAACGTCAACCTAGTTTTTGACCTGACGAAAAAACAATGCCTTCGGAGCCTGTCACGTGGTTAAAAAAACATATAAATTGAAGGTACGAGCGAACCCAGTGAGTGAGAATTTACGACCAGACCTTTGTTGGACTGTTTTCTGACTTCCGTTTGTTCCTCATATTGATTGCTTGTTGAACGTTTTTTTGTTAAGTTTGTGTTTTATTATTTTATTTGATTTGTGTTCTTACGAATTTTTTTTGAAAAGATTTTGATTTTTATTCTTTTCCTTTTTTTACCCTCCTCTTTTTAAAAAAAAAAAAAAAAAAAAAAAATTATCTACGTTAATTTTTGTTTATTCTTTTTATTTTAAATTTCCTTTCTGTCTTTTTTTCATTTTCTCTTATTTCTCCTTTAATTATATCTCCGTTTTTTTTTTTTGTTCTTCTGTAACCCCTGTCTGTGCTTCGTTGTTGCGTTGACGTACCGTTAATAATTCTTTTTTTTTTCCTTTTTAATACCTTTTAAGTTTTTTCGTGTTTTTTCTTTGCCATTTTGTATTGTATATTTGTCTAATTTTTTAAACCTTTATTTACTGCCTATTTGTACATATATTTGTCCATTTATTTTGTTCTAACGTTTTTCTATTTATTTTCTATTGTTTATTTGTTTTGGTGTCGGCCATCTTGTTAAATTGTAGCTAGCTCTGTATATTTTGCATATTTTCGTATTTTCTTTGTTTTTCCTTTTTTTTGTCTAAGCGTTTTTTTTTCGTTTTTCCTTTTTTTTTTTTTTTTTTTATTGTTTCGCCGTTAGGCGAACCTTTTTTGTATAATATTTTACGTGTTTTTTTATTTTTGATTGTTTGTCTCGCTTCCGGGTGAGATTTGTGTTTTTTTTTTTTTTTTTTTTCCCTTTCTCCTCCCCTTCCCTGTTAATACAAAAAAAATATGGAAAAGAAGGAAAAAAAAAGCTCCTTCCTTTTTTTAGTCATAAAAAAAAACACAACTTAGCAGACTACAGAAAGTCTATAAGAAGACACTTATTTAACCCCCAAAGAAAGACCCTCCAGATAAAGACAACATCAATGAATACCCAGCCCTAGATCAAATTTCCCCTAGCGAGGATGACATCGCTGGTAAAAAAAATTCACTTTCTTCAAGTATGGATGCCTGCAATGGCAATAAGAAAAATGAAAAAAGTCAAAAAAGTACGGAGGCCAATAATAGCCAAAAAACCCAAATTGACTCGAAAGCCAAGAATGGCTCTCAAGAGAAGACTGAGGCCGGGGAATTGCCCTCTTGTTGGAAGTCCCCCCCGAGTTGTATTATCAATGTAGCGGATTTCTTGGAGCGAGCTAAGAGCTACACTCACCTTGTCATAGAAGGTGGACTCTTAGAAGACGCCCAGGAACTAAGAAAAATTGAAACACGAATAGTGTCAGTTTTTGTCGTGGACAAGCGTACGCGCAGAATTTGTCGCTCGACAAAAGACACAGTGATAAAATCACTG